TGCAATGATAATACCAACATGGGCCAGTGAAGCGATGTCCTCCACAACTAGACTGAAGAACAAAAGGACAGCAACTTGTCTGTTCCCCTTTCCCGATTCCCCAACGCTGTTCCCTCCCCCAATTCCCCAATAAAATCTTTAAAAATAAATAAATAAATAAATAAACAAACAAATAAATAAATAAATAAAATAATGCTAAAAATACAAGGTAGCCAAGGTCTGGGCATCTGCTCAGCCAGCATGGTCTCCTTGGCTTTGGCAGTCACTTGCTCTTAAAGCTAACACTCCCCACCCCACCTAGGCTCACAGCAGACAACACCTGGGCTCTGTGACCAAGACAGGGAACTCAGTGGGCCCACACTGAACCACCACCTCTCCTCTAAAGCTGCCAGCCCCTGACTCCCCAATTCTAGTTCTGGAGATCCTACCAGCCGCCCAGATCCAGCAGACATGTCCGCCTTCTGGGGCCCCTCAGCCTGAGACCTCCAAGCCATTTCTGGCTTCTCTTCTTAACATAGTTAGCTGCTGAACGTGGTGGGTTTTGTCCCCTGAAAACCTCTCTATTTCTTCTCCGTGCTCACATTTAGACCCTCCTTAGCAGGGACACGACTGATGGTACCTGCTGCTGGATTAATTCTCACCTGAGAGACGACAAGATCCATGGCTGTGGACCCCCACGGCCTACCGCGTATGCCCGCACTGAGGAGTTCAGGCCTTCCGTGATCTCAGCCCAACTGCTCCCCGCCTCAGCTTTCTTCCCCCTCCTCCAAACGCACACGGAACCCAACCACCTCCAGTCCTGCTTCTGTGAGCCCCACCCCCTCTCAGCCAGGTGAGCCACTTGACCCACCTTCTTACTGGTTTCACGGGTTCCACAATCCACATCGCTTCAGTCCTCTGCTTCTATTCCTCCACTACAGTCAGAATAAAATCCATACACTCACTCTAGCCTGCCAGCCATGGCCCGGGCCCTGACTCCGACCCCTCACACCTTCTCCTCCAGCCCCTGCTGCCTCACCCTCCTGTTTCTGGAACATACCAGCCTCACTCCTGCTGCCTTCTGCCTGGAACATTCTCCCCTTACATCTTTGCCAGGCTGGCTCTTCCTCAAATGCTATCTCCTTGGAGAGGCCTGCCATGCTACTCACTTTCTTCCTCAGCTACCAGCCCTCCTCAATCGCTCTGACACCGCTTCCTTCTCCACATGTACCAGTCCCCAGAACAGTCGTGTCTGTGACTTTGTATATTTTTTGTCTGTATATTGCATGGGGACTGGGACCCCCTTGGTCCTGCTCGCCACTGAATACCCAGCACACATTACAATGCTCAGCACATGGTATGTGTTCAAGAAATGCTTGATGCATAAATCAAGTCCACCCCATGTACTTCCTGCTGTGTCTACCCCAACTCTCATGGGCTCTGGGGTTTCACATACGTCTCTCTTCCCAACATACCATAAGCGCATGGAGGACGGTGTCATAATTCTTTGTATCCTTGTGCCCTACGCTATACACGCAGTGGCTGGCGTGGTTTTGAGCACATAATGTGTGTTCAGTAAATGCCTAAAAACGATGACCTCTTATCCAGCGGGGCCCTGGGCAAAACTGGGAGTGGGAGACTGATTTTCCAAATGGGTCCTCTGCCTCTCTCTTCTGTGCGCCCCGCCTGACAGCAACCCCTCCCTTCCAATGACGCATTTCAGTTCTCTCATATTTGAACTGAGACATTCTCATACAGGTTTTGATGGTCTTTTGGTTTTGGGTTTGTTGTTTTTTCTCCTTTCCTGGCTGGGAGGAGAAGCACTTGCTTTCTTCAACTTCATAGCTATCTTCCAACTACTGTCTCATTCTCCTCTGCTGGAGGGATGCCACTGGCTTCTTGTTTTAATTTGAACGGCATGCTTTCTGGCCAATGCATAGCCGTCACCTCAGCATTTCCTGGGCTCCTGGTTGGTCCCACCGACACCCACCGCCCTCAGCTTTCTTTTTCTTGACTTCACCCTTGTCTTGCTAAACAACACGTAATTTCTTCAGAATGGACGCCTGGAAAATAAAACGTCTGAGTCCTTCCATATCTCAAAATTACTATATTTTGCTTGTATGCTTGGTTGATGATTTGGCTGCCTAATTCTATAATTCTGCAGAGTTCTATAATTATCTCAATTTTCTGCCAGGGTCAGTTTTTTCTGTTTGTTTTTCTTGGTCTTTCTCATTCCTGCTGCTGGTTTTCTTCAAGTCACGGATCATCTCTGGCTGACCATTCACATTTGAGGAGGAGGCTCAGAAAGGCTGACCCAGGGTGCGCAACACGTGAGGGTGGGGAGGGGGTGCATGATAGGCTTCCATGTTGGACTGATGGGCAGCAAGCTGGAGTCTACCCCAAAACCAGGAGGGTGTGCACCATGCTCCAGCCCTGAGGTCACACACCTGAACCAGTTGTCCCTGAATAGTTTCTCATATAACTTTGGACAGGAGCCCACTGATATTTTTCCTGATATAATTACCTGACAGCCCATCAAAGTCCAAATGCAGAGCTAGGTGTGGTTGGCCATGTTGCACGAGACCCTGACTTATCTCATGTTCAGCCAGCGCCTCACTCCCACCCTCTGTTCCCAAATCCTGGGCCCCTCGAGCATCCTCCTTTCTTTTTGGTTGCAACTCCCCATTTGTTTCAGGTCTGGCCTCTGCTGCTTTGTTCCTGCCATCAAATGTCCATCCACTCCTATCCTCCAAAAAGAGGTGGTGTCTTTCTTTGGTCCAAGGGTGACCTCTGCTGCTCGGCACCATATGGTCTGTGCTTTTCTGCCTTTACCATCGTGGAGTCCAAGGATGGAAGAGGAGAGAACACGTGGCTCATTCTGCTGACTTCATCCAGAAGTTGGTGTGGGAGGTTAATTAGATAAAAGGGGTACAGGGAATGAATTCAGAGTGTGAGGCCTGCTATCAATAAAAGGCTTGGCACTGACAGTCACACGCTGCAGAGATGTCAGCTGCAGTGTCACGATGTGAAGAAAAGCAGCAACCAGGAGGGCGTTGTTGAAACCTGGGCTCAAACATAAACACTGGGTACATTTTCCTGCATGCTTTACATGAGGCACTCGGAGGCCAGCATCTCTTAGAATTCTCCTAAATCTCACCAGTCATTCCACTTGCCTAACAGACCACGGTACACACAAATGGGAGGCCAGTCAATTCTGGACGGTGGAAATGGCGTGCTAAAATGGGCTCCAGATTCCAGAAGCACTGAAGTCTGAAGAACACGTGGCCCAGCCTCCCATGCATGTGTTTTGTCTTTTCATTACGCCATCGAAAGCTCTCCTCCCAGCCAGCTCCTGGGGGAACATGGATAATCAGATACACTCCCTCCACTGAAGCAGCTGACAGGCCCTGAAGGTGTTTCATTTCGGTTTGGTGTCCATCATGCCCGGGATATGTACACACATTTAGGGTCCCAAAGAAGTGTGACCCTCATCAGAGCTGTGCTGGCTGCTAAGGCCTTAACGAAAAGCCAAGCATATCTGGTTCCAGGTGTATTCAGATCTGTCCATCAGTTTGACTCACCCACGGAAGGTCAGGAGCTCCGAGGCGAGTTGGATACCAGAGGCATGTTCGCGCGATTTCTTTGCTTCTGGAAGCCGACAGTAGGAACCCTTAATGATGGGGCCCCTGATTTATAGGGACTTGCTGAAAAATAGACAATGTTTGTGTTTCTTTCCCCCGACTTGCTCCCACTTTTATGAGTGCTGTTAAGTTTCATTTCAGCATGTTCAGTAATTTGTGACTCACTGAAATGAAACTGAACTCGGGCCTCATAAAAACGGAATAAAATGGTATTTCCATGTTTCATGTTATGGTTTGAATCAGCCTGCTCTTGGGAGCTTACGGGAACCTGCTGAAAATGCCATTCCGGAGCCTCTCGACCCTCCACTCCCCACCACCTTGTCACCGGGGTTCTCAGAACTTCCCAGAACTCCTTCGGCTACCCAAAATAGCAAAAATTGTCAGCTGAAGGGAACAGAAGGAAAAGCTAGGGAGTGAGCCATGACAACATTTCTGTAAGTGCGGTCCTGTGTAAAACGTGGATGGTTTCTACCTTTAGTCATTATAATTATTAATACATGATTATATCGATGAGTAGGTACAGGTCCTCTGCTCCTAAACTGAGACTTTTTATTTATTATTATTATTATTATTATTATTATTATTACTATTTGTCTTTTTAACCAATTTTCCTTGCCTGACTCATTCACAGGAATCCAGAACATTCTACTTTGGCAACTACTATAACTAGGCATATAGCTACTGTATTTGTATATAATTTGTCATCTTATGTATGCTCGATTTTATTATAAAAATTCATGAACTATGACTTGACTCATTTGGATTTCTGTGAGAATTGACTTCACAGTGAGGCTAAAGGTAACCTTTGTAGTTTCTCTCTGAAGAATGAGTGCTCTGTTTCTCAACATGTTACTCTCTTGAGGTGCTTGCAGGTAGGGGCCACCACCACCTGCCAGGATGGGGGTCCTTTGCTAAGACTGGTGGGCTGCCTAGAGACAGCGGTCCCTGGGGTGCATGCATACAGGGGAGACAGTACTCATGAAAAATGGCAGGTAGGGGTCTCTCCACCAGCAGGGTGAGGCGGGAGAGTGAAAGCCCTCTTACCCATCGTAGGGTACTGTGAAAGCTGCCATTGTCGGTACCTCTGTGCTATAGTGTACCTGCCTTGAGGAGTTGTGCTTGGCTAGTGTTAATCTCAGTGCAGGGGTCAGCAAATGCAATAGTGATGATAGTAGTGGAGGCATTTAAGATAGACTGGATGGTGGAGATGGGGTGACACCGGGAATGGGAAGGTAACTGTCCCCATGCCATTCCCATCACACTCCAGTGCACGGCAGGTCCAGCACAATGATGCCCTATGACCACAGGCTCTTGAAATGCTTTGAGTGGCATCCTGGCCCCCTCGTACTGACTAAAGGACTGATAGTTTTGTTGTCACAGTACAGGGAGACCCCCTTATTGAAAAGGCTGCAATTAGAACCAAGGTTATAGAAGGAGCCATAGGCACTGATCACTTGGAGCTAAAATCATGTCTGGCCACTTAGCACGGCCCCCACTTGCCAGAAAATGCCAGGATTTTTAGCAACGCCTCCATGTTGGCAACAGCCCTGCAGATGCTGGCAAGAGTTTGGAGAGGGCTCAGCTGGTGCCGCCCTAAAGGGGACAGGCGCCTTTACTTGGGAAATTGTTAGTCAAGGAATGCACATCACGGGCCCACATGGGTGTGTAATTTAGGAAAGAAACAAATCCCGCACTTGGCTTGCTAGCAGGTGTACAGGAGACCATCAGCAGCTCTTCATTTCAGTGATTGGTGATAAGACCTCTGTTCACACGAGGTCCTGCACATTATTTGCTATGAGGCGGCAGCCTGAGAGCCCCGCTGCACCGCCTGTCACCACCTCCTTCCCTGAAAAGACGCCTGGCCAAGACTCTCGGGCACCAAGCGTCTATCACCCTCACAGGTCCGTGTTTGACAACAAAGCCAGGCAGTGCCAAGGGAGTCTAGGAATTGCCAAGATTTCCCCTGAAAAATCCTAGTTTGGGAGTAGCTGGGACTTCGCAAGGGAAAAAAAAAATCCACTAGTGTTGAAATGGTTGGCTGCAGGGATCACCCTGAAAGCTGTCTGTGTCTGAGTCTTCCTGCCTGTGCCGTTTTACTCCATCTTTCACTCACCCACTAATCATGCCACCTGTGCCCTTGGCCAGGCGTGGAGAAGGAGACAAAATGGAGATATGCCATCCTCCAGGGTCATGGGGCAGGTTGTGGCACAACCGCAATGAAGGGGGGACGATGGTGTCTCTCCCCAGTGACCACTGGGATTTACAATTTTTCAAATGTTTTAATATTTCGCTGAAACTGAGCTTTAGAGACGGATGTCAGCTTCAGAAGGTGTGGGGTGCTTGAAGCATCCATAGCCACGTGACTCCTGTAAAGCTGTTTGTCTTTTCCTGGTGAAAATCAGGAGGCTCCTCTGTGGCCCCTGGTGAGTGGAGGACTCCTGATTAGCCTCACATGGGCCAGTGGAGGCCAAACAAAGCAAAGCGACAACTGGAGGAAAGACCTGGTTTTCCTTTCGATGCTAAGTGTGCGACAATCCTGACACTCTCATGCCTGCTCAGGGCTTGGGGGGCCACCATCTCCTCCTGCTCTTGGTGGCTCACCTGCTAAGGACACAGCCGAGGGGGCTTGGTCACAAGGATGACGATAGCATGTGTCTGGGGCTGCGGGGAGAGGGCTTTCTGCGGCTGTCACACGACAGGCTCAGGCCGAACTGGGTCACCAGGAAATGGGGCACGTGGGGCAGGACCCAGGCTGCGTCACTTAAACCACGCCCCTCTAGGCACTGGAAATACCAGCCTCTCAACCGCCATCCCAGTCTCAGCTGTGGCACCACACCTAAAGGGTGCCCATTCTAAGGGAGAAAAACGAGCAGAGCTACCTGTCACCTGTTATGCCAGGCTGGGGGGGTGGAGGGGGAGGTGTGGGCAGCTCGGGCACATTTAACGCAGGTGGAAGGTGATCTTCCATCCTTCCTCCCTTCTGTTCCTTGTTGTCTTCTTAAACGACAGTTACCAGGGTTCTAATGAGTCACAGACATCCAATATCAGGAAGGGTTTGGGGACTATATTTCAGTGGGTGCAGCAGTCCCCACAAGCCAGGCATATTCACCTCCCTGGGTACCATCTGTGAAGGAATCTTTTAAGTTCTACTGTATCTGTGTTAGCGACACAGAGCGAGCAGAGCTTGTCCGAAACATACGTTCACATACATCTTCCAGTCCTGTCTTAGCATTCTACCCGCTCCTCCCTTTGTCATCATGTCTAAAGTTATGTAAACATTTATGAGGTTACTATGTTGCCACTATTCTTTCAGCCACCTCCAATCCTGGTTGGCCATGCTCAGTCACTGCTGAGGGTGGGAAGGAGGGAGGAAGGGAGGGGGGAGGGGAGGGGTGCCAGGCTGGGAGACAGCACCTTCCGCACGTTCTTGAGAAAACCCATTCCCCCAGGCCTCCTGAGGTCCCTGCCCCATGCCGAGCACCTTTGGGGAGAGGAAGCCTCCTCTCCAAAGCCCCACCAAGGACACGAGGAAGACAAGTCACCTGGCACCTGCCGTGCACGCAGAGGTCGGTCTCGTAGGGCCCGCAGGGCGTGCCATCCAGGACCCTGTCGGCCACCAGCAGCGGGGACTCCTTCTCCAGAGGCGAGCAGTACAGTTCACACGGCTTATCTGCGGAGGGAAAGGGGGGTGAGCACTGACGTAAAAAGGAGTGTGTGGGCCAGGCAGGGCACAGGTGATCGTTTTGCAAAGGGGTCTCCAGAGAGAGAAACACAAACACCTCTGGGCTGCCTCTGTTGGGACCTTTGTCCACCATGAGTCCCCCGCCCCCAGTGGGCCCTTCCAGTGGTCCTGGGTGAGCAAGGTCAAGGGTAGAGAAAGTCTTTTGGAGCTGACACGACCTCAGAGGACCTTGGCATCCCAGCCAGAAGGTTCTTATTAGAGCCAATGTGCTGTGTCCCCCAGGGCCTGGGGCTTTCAGGATGGGGTGGCATTCACTAACCGCCACGTGTTCGGCGGCTACCCATCGAGTTCCTGTCCCGTGGAGCTCTGCTCTCAACACGCAGTGGGAAGTCTGGTCTTAGACCACTCGAGAGAAGGGGTCTAAGGTTCAAGGAAGGGCCCCTTGGCCAAAGCACTGAGAACACTGTGCATTTTAATCTCCTTTACACTGAAGTGTTGCCTCAGTACTTGTAATCACAGAGCTTTGCGGTGACTCGTTCAATAGCAGGCATAACATTGATGATGGTGATAAAATCCTAAACAACATTTATTGTCGACCATGTGTCAGGTGGCATGCTACATCGTGTCCACGTATTTCAGGTGGATGCTGTCATTGTTCAATTTGATAGATGAGCCCAGGAGACCCAGAGAACGTGCACTGCTGCCCAGAGTCCCTCGGCTGCTGGAGCCAGCCCCGGTCTCCTCACCCGGTCCTGAGTTTCTTTCCACCAACACTGTTCTCTCTCTGAACGGAGAACTCTGGGGCCCCCAATACTAAGGGGCAAAACGGTGTTGCTGAAACCAAAGCACCAGTTTCACGGATGTTTAGGCTTCTGAGTGTATATACTCTGATTAGCGTAGAAACAGAAATGGGATTGGGGTAGAAAATGTAAGGTTCTTTTGAGCTAAGTCAGAAAGCACAGACTTGGAAGAGATGAAGACGGGTCGTCTGGGCTCTTGGATGTGAGCGTCACAGCAGTGGAGACTCTCCAAAGCTGGGGGCCCAACCTCGATGAAGGGACAGTGACCTCCAGGCAGGAAGACAACACCATCTGCACTTGACTCTCACACTTGCAGACACCGTCCTCCATCGCTTGGGCAGCCTGGGGACACCCCGCTTCCAGAACAGAGTCCTGAGGCGGCGCTGCCTTCCTCTGCTCAGCAGGTACTCCCCCCGTCTGACCATCTCCTTTTCTGAGGACTCTGCTCAGAATTCAGGGAACTCCAGAGTGCTGGGAAGGCAGGGCTTTCCCTTCCATAGGGACTCGGGATAACCTTTCTAAAACATGAGGAGGCTCAGAATATGCCCCTCCAGGGGCAATATGCCTGCGTTGAGCAATTAATCTACAATTAATCTGATAAATAACATGAGGTGCTGGGGTTCAGCTTCAGGCACAGTGTCAACACTCTTCCTTCCTTAGGCGTGCAGGAGGAGGTCCAATCTTCCTGTAAGTTACACAGCCACACACTCCAAGGGAAGATGCATGGGGTATCCCTCTTGCCCAGATGGAATACTGACCGAGGCTGGACGGTGTGGGGGTGGGTCCCGGCTTCTCACGGGCTCACCTGTTGTCAGGACTGACGCTTAGATGGGGAAGTTGCAGACACAGCAAGGAAGACACACTCAGGGGCTTGAGAGCCACATGATCAATCTGCTTGGTAGAGGCCTGGAGGAATTCCTGGTGAAGAATTCCTGGTGGCTCCTTAGCTGTTCTCTCTGCCCGTAGTTACAAGGTCTTGCTTGCTAAGGTAGAGATGCCATGTAATTTGGGGGCCATCACAAATGCTCATCTATGCCTTCTGTGGGCAACACAAGCTGAGGAGGCTGCTCAGGCCCTGTCCCCAAAGCTGCTCAGCATGGCCTGATCACCAAACCACAGCTGATGGGACCAGCAGTGGCCACCTGACCAGAGCTGGGCCAATCAAAATCTCCTTCCTCAGGACTCAGCCCTTCCAATGGAGAGGTTGTGTCTGCTCATGTTTGGTGGATCCCAGGCAAGTCTCCATGACTTACTCACAATTCAGAAATCACGAGCGCTCTGAGAACGGCTAGCATTTGTTTACGTTTGTGGCAAACACATTTGACACGTGGCTATTGGTAGTGCTCAGTATCTCACTTGGCATGACACACACACACAAGCTGTGGTGGACACGGACAGCAGCTCCTGACCCCTCCAGGGGCCCTGGTCTCAGACCCTCACCCTGGCCCCTGGGACCTGTGAGCCACCCTGTATCATTGCAAGGACTTTCCCTCTTTTTTGTTAAGCAACTCCAGTGGGTTTGGCGGAGTCACAGTCAGACAGCCCTCACCATCGTACCTGTCCCCTGGGAGGTGTGGACCCGGGAGGTTCATTCCCACTGGGTAAAAGTGGCTGGGCATGTATTTCTATGTCCAGACGTGACCTCTGCCAAGCCCTCTGACACTTGAGTGGGCACGTGGTCTGCTGGCCTGGCCACGGAGGCCTGAACTCGTGAAGGTTTCCACTTAAATGAGATTCCACGGGGAAAGCTGAAATGGGGTGGGTTTGGCAACGGTCCATCTCCATGGGTTTCTGTCTAAAGGCTTTTCCACGTAGAAATATTTTCTAAGGAGACTCTTTGTCTTCTGCTGGAGGTAGTATGGCTTTGTGGTCCTGAGTCCTCCCTAGGAAAATCTACCTCTGCAAGAATTCTTTTTTTCAAGAAGAGAAAAAAGAAAAAATATAGCTTCCCCTTTCTTGAACTGTGCGTCAACTGCCAAAGAATTCCGCAGCGATAGCAATGCTATGAATAGGGCAGTTATAACGGGCTGCAGAAGAGCCTTAGCCTGACCACAGGAACCGTGCCTATCATGGCTCAGCTAGAATCGTGCTTTTTATAACTACGTTCTGAGAGGGATGCTTATAATCTGCATTCTCCCCCTGCCCTCTGAATTGGCCATTTATTATTGCGCCTTTATCCTTGCAAAACGCTCCTTCACAAAATGCTGGCTTCTGTTTATATTCAAGAGGGAAATGAAACCAAATATGCGAGAGGTCCTGACAATTCCACCCCAGAGGGGGAACATGTCGAGCTACCCTTGCAAAGCCCTGAACTTGGGGTCTCTCCTTCAAAGGCAGAATGCTGACTGCCTGTTTGGCTGTCCTCATCAAATCGGGTCGCCTTTGCAGATCAAAGGCGGTGGCACTCCAGCTACCATTATGTCTTGTTTTGGCAGCAAGAAATAAAGAGCGGATGGGTGAAAACATTCTGAACACAATGAGCTTCCCCAAATAGCCGCACTGTGAGGCCTCCTGGACGGGGGATCTGGGCAGACACCAGTCTCAGCCACTGTGATGATAAGGGAACCGAGGAGCTCAGCCATCCAACAGTGGTTAGAAGTAAAATAGAAGTTTAATCTGGACTTGGAGAAATCGGTGGAAAAACAGACATTTAAGTGGGAGTTCTGCATTGAATAAACGAGGCAGGAGAACTGAAAACCAAAGCAAGAGACCAAGGAAAGAATAACAAAACCTCTGCACAGAGCTGAGTGGGAATGAGAACGGGGAGAGTCTGTGTTGGACTTGACCTCCTCTTGCTCCCAAGAAGTGGGGGAGGACAAGCCAGGGGCCCTCAAGTGTCTTTATCTAGCAGTCTGGGACAGGGGAAGGTTTGGGAACACGGCAGCTGCCGCCGGTGCCATCTCCCTCCGGACGAGGGATCTGAGCGTGCCCGAGACTCTGGAAGCTTCCTGAGTCTTCTTGCATCTGATCAACAGCCAGGCAGAGAGCGGCAAGCGTCGCGTTTGAGCCTCTGCCTCCATCTGCATGTCCTCTTGGGAGGGAGGGTTGCCTCTCCTTCATCTGCAGGGTAAGCTGAGAATACGAAGGCTACGCTTCTCTTGAAGTCTGCTGGGGACAATCACACAGCTCCGAAAGGTGGTGTTCTTGTTTACAAAAGGAAAACACTTGGGGAGCACGCCAATGCTCTAAAATGAGCCCACGGCTGAGTGGGTTGGTATCATCCGTTAGAACTGAGAATGCTCCACATCACTCTGCAAGTCAGTTCAAAGCGGATGGGTCAGGTGGTTGGGTTAAAAGATGCAGGTTTGAGGCCATCATTTGCTGTGATGTCTGGGCCTGTGTCCCCACATGGCTGTGCAATCTTGAACTTGTCAGAGCAGACTGCGCAACGTAGATCTCCAAGGTCCTTTGGATCACAGGGAAGAAACTTAAGACCTGGCCCAGGAACCTTATTCTCCTGCAAAAGACTTTAGAGGTGGTGTAAAAATCAGGCCCCGTTGCTTTCTTTCTTATTAAAACGCCCTCACTCAGCACTCGTGAAATCATGCTTTCTGTCTTACTCGAGTATTGGAAGCCAGATGATAGCTGGTTATTCTCTGAGTCAGCTCCTCCGGAACTGGGGTCAGCTCTCCCTCTGCTTTTCATCAGCTATCGGAGCTCAGACATGTCACGTAACCTATAACCTCTCATCTTCTGCACGGCTTGTTTCGCATATTAAATGAGATGATGTACACAGAGCTGACTTGTGCCTGGCACATGGTATGTTTAATAAATGGGACCATATTGTCATCATTAGAACACAGCCTGGTTTCCTGAAGATGAACCGAATTTCCAGTGTAAAAAAAAAACCTGAAGTAGATCCCATGGGGTCCTGATCGACGATACACAGACATCACAAATCCTACACACAGGACATGCCACCTAGAATGTCATCAGCCACCGGAAATGCTTGTAACAGCCCAGTGGTCAGAGTCCCTTCATTTGGGAGAAAGCTGAGAAAGAAAATGGGACCCGTGCTTATTATCATCTTAACCAAGCTGTCAACTGTCCTCAAAGCTTTTCCCAAAGCACTTCAGCCAAGTGAAAATGAACCAAGAAAAGAAACGCAAAAAAAAAAGCATCAACACCAGAAAGGGAAACGGCAGACAGTCCCACTGTCCTGCCCCAGCAGACCTTCGTGCTTCTCAGAGTTGGCCCTGGGCCCCCGCCCCGGCACATGGCAGAAAGCGGCAGGCTGCCAGCACGCCCGCCTGGCTGCAAGAGGGGGTGCAGGAGGAATTTGGGCTGCTGCCTGCCTCACAGCTGCTTTGGGGAAATCTCACAGAGCTGGGTCATCCAAGTTCAACCCCACTGCTCAAGAAGTGGGTCCAAGACTGACTTGGGCAGGAGGACGGGAGCGTCCCGTTGGGTGGATTGCAGGGTGGGGTGTGCCCTCTGGGTTTTCCTAGAAGGTGTTTATGTTCTTGGGAAAGGCGGGAGAGAAGCCACTGAAAAGGATGCGCCATATGCCTTTACCATCAACCACCACCGCCGTCAGCAGGCCCTTCTTGCTGCTCAGCCGGTCGTGCGTCTGGCACTGCTGGTCCCGGAAGCTGGGCAGGCCCTTGGGGCAGGGCGGGTTCTCACAGACTGCGTGCTCCACACTGGCGCCCAGGCAATGCGTGCCTCCAGGCCCGGGGCTAGGAGGAAGAGAACAGTCCACGTTAACCAGTCGCTGCTAGGGAAACGCAGGCTGCTGGGTTTGGGCCTCTTGCCAGGAGCGGGAGGGGCCAGGCAAGATTTTCAAAGCTCCACCCCCTTGCTCTTACACCCCAGCCCCACACTGACACCATGTTTAAGGCATCCAGAAAACCATAAATCAAGGTCATCTGGAAATAAAACATGGTGAACATCAGTTCAGCAAGAGTCACAAATTGTATCTTTTATCTGAACTTAACACTTGGTCGTCTGTCTCAATGACAACCCCAAGGTGTGTGTGTGTGTGTGTGTGTGTGTGTGTGTGTGTGTGTGTGTTGGTTTCTTAGTCTTCTATAAAAGGAAGACTAAATGGCTCCTAGAGACACTCCTGAGGCCACTGAGTTTCAGGACAAGTAAATAAATAGCTCTCAGTTACTTTATAATAAAAAGAATCAGAATGGTTAATTCACTTGTTCACGGGCTTTGGATAATGGTCAATGAAGTGGTCTTGGGTCCTAGGTGCTCTGTGCTGAGGCTGGGGTTTTAAGCAGTTCTGGAAACACAGCGATGTTTTCTGGTCATGTCCGCATGTGTGAGGGGCATCGTGGAGAAGCAGCAGGACATGGGCCTGGCAGGCTGAGGTGTGGCTCCGCCCAGCTCTTCCACAAGGCCCCCGGCTGTCCTCGTAGGACTCGGGCCTGGACAACCTCAACGGTTCATTTCATCTCCATGATGCCAAGGGCATCATGACGGAGGAAGATGGCTTCCCGTCAGCACTTTTTGTGTGAAATTCAGCCCACGAGAGAAAAGAACACAAGCCACAACTATTCTACTCAATGTCCTTTTCACCAATTGCACTGACCTATTGGCAGGATGACATTTTTGACACATCAACCATTTCATTTTGAGAATTTCTTCTCCTTTCTATCATTTCTCATGTTCAAACAGGGAGGCCACCCTGTGATCACTGTCTTAGTGGGGAGATATGACAGTAGAAGGTGGCAGAGGTCTTTAGGCTTTTGTGTCACAAAGGTCTATGTTAGGGGGTCCACAGGCTTTTTCTGCAAGGGGCCAGATAGTGAGTATTTTTGGCTTTGTGGGCCATGCCGTCTCTGTTTTGACTACTCAACTCTGGCATTGTAGCACTAAAGCAGCCAGAGACATGGCTGCGTGCCAATAAAACTTTATTTACAAAGCCAGGTTGTGGGCCAGATTCGGCCCACGGGCCCTAGCTTGCCAGTGCCTGGCCTCCATCAGTGTGTTGGAGGAAACATCTGGAGTGGCAGAAAAGGCTCCCCTCATACATCCATATCCACGTCATGTAACATCTCCCTCGCCTGGGAGCGGAGGCAGCCTTAAGAGATTATACACACAGGTGGCCCCAGAGAGGGGCCCTGAGTTTTGGTCTCCAAGTTAGGAAATAGCAAAACCTCTCTAAAGTTTATGGGAACTGAGAACAGAGGGACCTTTTGTTCTTTCTCCTGCCCAGAGCACCAGCGAGGCAGATGGGCCTCAGAGAAATGACTGCACGGCACATTTAGGAAGACGGAGCCTTAGACAGCAGCCCCGAGAGCTCTGGGCCCGAGCACCAAGTGCGGACAGATAAATGGATTCCTGGGCCACAAAGCACAGTGTGGAAGGAAGAGCGAGGGTCTGGCCCTGAGAGCTAGGTGGACCAGCGGGAGGGACATCTTTGCAATAGGTGGGTCACCATGGCTGAGGCCAGAAGAGGCATGGGTGAGGCAGGGGGCGCTGTACAGTGAGAAGTTATGCACTGAATTGTGTCCTTCCTCAAATTCATATGCTGAAGTCCCAACCCCCTCTGCCTCACACTATGACCTTATTTGGAGATAGGACCATTGCAGATGCAATTCATTAAGATGAGGTCATACTAGAACCGGGTGGGCTCCTCATCCAATACAACCGGTGTTATTGTAAAAAGGCAAAATCCGGAAACAGACTTTCCCTTTTTATAACACCACCAGTAACACAGGGAGAATGCCACATGACGATCAAGGCAGAGATTGGGGTTCTGCTTCTATGCTCTAAGGAACACCAAAGATGGATAGCAAACCACCAGGAGTCAGGAGAGAGGCCTGGACCAGATTCTCCCTCACAGCCCTCAGAAAGGACCAACCCTCTGACACCTTGATGTTGGACTTCCAGCCTCCAGAACTTGGAGAGAATACAATTCTGGTGTTTCTACCACCCAGTTAGAGGTAGTTTTTTTATGGGAGCCCTGGGAGATGAACACACCAGACGTCGCAAGGACCAGGCGCATCCTCACTGAACTTCAGGGATGCAAACCCAGGGAAAATGGGGCCAAACTCCTGAAGTTATTAGAAACCCAATATGATTAGAAGAGAGTTGAAGAACACAAATGAGCTTGGTTTCTAGAAAAATAATGGATGCTACATTTCCCACACATCTGTGGACTGAGATGTGCGCATATCGTATAATTAACTTCCTGAGTTGTCATCAAACTTTATTTTAGCTTCCATTGCATCCATCTCCATCAACTGATTTTTCCAGATCTATGTCTGACTGACCCTCACAGACCAGTTACCTCTATGCTTCTCAGCAGTGGGGTGGAGAGGTGATTAGATGTGACACAAGACAACTCCTGGATCCCGCAGGAAGCGGACCCAGAAGGGGGCTGCCTGTGGAATATCTCAGGGCGCTTCCGTCGTGAGTTCTCTTTGCCATGCTGCTTCTCCCTGTCCGACCTTGTCCCATAGGCAAGTCCCCTGGCAGCCCCATCTTCCCCATCTCCACCCCCAACGCTCTGCCCATCCTCACAGGGCCACCTCCACCCTGCAGCCTGCTTTCCTTTCCTACCTGGAGGCTCTCCTGACCCTGCTCGGGTCTCTGCTACGGAGCTCACTGTCCACCTTGTGAAATGATGAGCTGGCTTCCTATCGTCCTCCTATTCCTCTACAGCCTTGAGCAAAGAACCTTGACCAGGTTGGTCTTTCATAAACAGTAGTTAGACTCGGTTTAACTATATTATCAGAATTTATCTTAAAATGACCCAGAGAGAGAGAGTGATGTCAGCGAAGATGGGGGAGGAGGGAGCACCAGGGGTCCGTCTTTCCACCGAGACAATTATACGGGCAAAAACTGTCTGAAATGAACTGTTTTGAAACTCTGGGGTCTGAAAGCTTGCAGCCTCCAGGAGGAAGTGTGGCTGGTAAGTCGTGGTTAATTTTGGTCAACTCCAGTTTGGGGTGTGGTAGCAGTGACCTGTCCCGCATGCCCTAGCCCCGTGGCAGGCACCTGCACCTGCATTCTTGGTGTGGCTTGCTGGAGAAAGGCTGGGCAGTAGGGGTCTTAGCCTCCAAATAGCTGAAAGGAGTGATGCCAGCAAGTTGAAATCTTATCCTGAAATGAGGTCTGGTCACCTGAGGACATGGGTCAGACAGCTGTCAGGACAGAGTCATTTCCATGTAAAGAACCACCCAGCCTCATGTACCCAGAGGGCATATACTTTGCCTTCTCTCTGCAGCCATGATATCATTATGTCTGTCCCAAGAATCAGAAAGGCTTCCTGCCTGCATCCCTCAGGTGAGGAAATGACACTATGATATGTTAGACGACTGCCCAGCGTGTCACAAGTGGAGGTAAGAAGTGTGAGCTCCCAGATGGAGCAGGGCTGCCCATTGGCTGTCGCGAGGCTGGGAGGGCCAGCCTGTCCCACTGATATAGTCACGTGGGATGTGACGGATTTTTCAAGATTCTCCAATATCCATCCCCAATTTCTGCTTAGAAAGTCCTATGAGGGCTTTCTAAAGACAGAGACAGCAGAAGTTTATATAGAAGACCAAATGACTAGAACAGGCACTTCCCAAGGAAGGCTAGCCAAAGGCAGATACAGACACACACAGATGCTCACAAAGGAAAGGCGTAGGCAGGAAATGCAAATGAAAACCTCAGGGACATCCCACTCCCTACCCACCAGAATGTCCAAAACAAGAAGACTGGCACCACGTTGGTGAGGATGGGAGCGAGTCTGCAGTTGCTCAGGGCAGTGGAGACAGCACGGCCGCTCCGCAAAACGGGGTCCTCCGTCAGTCACACACACAAGCACACTAGGGCCCAGCGACTCCTTCCTGCTGTGCCCACATGCACCTGCATGCATACCCCCACCCCACCCCCCAACACACACACACACTTGACCTTGATGAGCAGCGGTGTGCTGGGAACCACACGCTATAGCTCACGGCGCCCTTTTCTGTATGCTACACCATAATAAAGATGTTGAAAAATAAGGAAAGAATAAGGTAGAGGGACTTTGGCGAGATGCTGGGAGTGTGGAGGGAAAGTCAGGCTCCTCCCCGAGCCCCTGATGGGAGGACTGTCTCCTGCCAGGGTGGGTCCCAAGTGCAGTGGGCAGATGTCAGCGCAGAGCAGAGAAGCAGCACAGGCCTGCTGAGATGAACGGGACCACTCAGCAGCGGATCCGACCCTTCCCCTGGGAGAGGATGGACATGCGGAATGGAGGTGGGAGGAAGAGACAGATGCTGGCTGAGTGGCACTCTTTATTTTTTGGGGTCTGCTGTATTCAATGAAGATAGGTTCCAGGAGGAAGTCACCACAGTGGTTCAGCTCCGCGCACTACCCAGAGACAAGGTGAGCTCAGCGGAGGGCCCGCTGTTCAGCCTCCTGTTTGGGCACCAGGAGCTCTGATGAAGGAGCAGGCCAGTCACAGGACTTTAGAAGTGGGGGATGGGGGTGGCTGCCAAGGCCCCTCCGGGGCAGCAGGCATCTCAGGTTAAAGCCCTCCTCTGAAAGGTATTCAACTTAGGCTTGAGTACAGACCACTGACATGTTTAAATACCATCCACGTGAACACCGGGTCATTGCCATGGGGAAAGCACATATACGGGGGCTTCCAAAGCAATTACAGCCTTCTAAGTTCCTGCCCCATCCTCCCACCAGGTCTGAGGAAGTGGCTGCTTTCTTTCCTGGTGCCCATGGGGTGACAATCCCTGCACGTGGCCCT